TGGGGTGACCCCTGGGAACTAACCCTTTATTTCATTAGATGTGCTTTATTATGTAAAACATTTCAATTATAAAAAAAAACGATTGTGTCTATCACTAACTGTTTTCAAGTTATAATCATTTGAAAATAAAATAAAGAACTGCGCCATGAGCGCATGATACGCCAGTCGCTTTTTCAAAGAATAAAGTTCCATAACTCCTCAATGTCATATCAGAAATTTATAAAAAAAACTAAAGGGAGGGTTATTTTAATAGATATAAACCAGTCACCAAAGTTTCATGAAAACTGCTTAAAGAACTTTTGAGTTATTGGTCGAAAACTGGAAAATCCCCCTTTTTTAATGAATAAAACCCCATAACTCGGAAATGTAAAATCCAAAATTTATAGAAATTGAAAGGGAGCTCACGTCAATATATATGAACAATTAACCAAAGTTTCAAGCAAATTGGTTAAAACTTTTTTGAGTTATTGTCCAACATGATTCAAACCAGAATATATATGGTACATGTATATATGGGTGGGGATCTTGACCACTTACAAGATATTAGAACTTTCTCAAATGGCAGGGGGTGGGGTGACTCCTGGGGACTAACACGTAACTTCATTTGATGTGCTTTATCATGACAAACCAGAATATATATGGTATATATGGGTGGGGATCTTGACCACTTACAAGATATTAGAACTTTCTCAAATGGCAGGGGGTGGGGTGACTCCTGGGGACTAACCCGTAACTTCATTTGATGTGCTTTATCATGACAAACCAGAATATATATGGTATATATGGGTGGGGATCTTGACCACTTACAAGATATTAGAACTTTCTCAAATGGCAGGGGGTGGGGTGACTCCTGGGGACTAACCCGTAACTTCATTTGATGTGCTTTATCATGACAAACCAGAATATATATGGTATATATGGGTGGGGATCTTGACCACTTACAAGATATTAGAACTTTCTCAAATGGCAGGGGGTGGGGTGACTCCTGGAGACTAACCTGTAACTTCATTTGATGTGCTTTATCATGACAAACCAGAATATATATGGTATATATGGGTGGGGATCTTGACCACTTACAAGATATTAGAACTTTCTCAAATGGCAGGGGGTGGGGTGACTCCTGGGGACTAACCCGTAACTTCATTTGATGTGCTTTATCATGACAAACCAGAATATATATGGTATAAATGGGTGGGGATCTTGACCACTTACAAGATATTAGAACTTTCTCAAATGGCAAGGGGTGGGGTGACTCCTGGGGACTAACCCGTAACTTCATTTGATGTGCTTTATCATGACAAACCAGAATATATATGGTATATATGGGTGGGGATCTTGACCACTTACAAGATATTAGAACTTTCTCAAATGGCAGGGGGTGGGGTGACTCCTGGGGACTAACCGTAACTTCATTTGATGTGCTTTATCATGACAAACCAGAATATATATGGTATATATGGGTGGGGATCTTGACCACTTACAAGATAATTTAGAACTTTCTCAAATGGCAGGGGGTGGGGTGACTCCTGGGGACTAACCCGTAACTTCATTTGATGTGCTTTATCATGACAAACCAGAATATATATGGTATATATGGGTGGGGATCTTGACCACTTACAAGATATTAGAACTTTCTCAAATGGCAGGGGGTGGGGTGACTCCTGGGGACTAACCCGTAACTTCATTTGATGTGCTTTATCATGACAAACCAGAATATATATGGTATATATGGGTGGGGATCTTGACCACTTACAAGATATTAGAACTTTCTCAAATGGCAGGGGGTGGGGTGACTCCTGGGGACTAACCCGTAACTTCATTTGATGTGCTTTATCATGACAAACCAGAATATATATGGTATATATGGGTGGGGATCTTGACCACTTACAAGATATTAGAACTTTCTCAAATGGCAGGGGGTGGGGTGACTCCTGGGGACTAACCTATAACTTCATTTGATGTGCTTTATCATGACAAACCAGAATATATATGGTATATATGGGTGGGGATCTTGACCACTTACAAGATATTAGAACTTTCTCAAATGGCAGGAGGTGGGGTGACTCCTGGGGACTAACCCGTAACTTCATTTGATGTGCTTTATCATGACAAACCAGAATATATATGGTATATATGGGTGGGGATCTTGACCACTTACAAGATATTAGAACTTTCTCAAATGGCAGGGGGTGGGGTGACCCCTGGGAACTAACCCTTTATTTCATTAGATGTGCTTTATTATGTAAAACATTTCAATTATAAAAAAAAACGATTGTGTCTATCACTAACTGTTTTCAAGTTATAATCATTTGAAAATAAAATAAAGAACTGCGCCATGAGCGCATGATACGCCAGTCGCTTTTTCAAAGAATAAAGTTCCATAACTCCTCAATGTCATATCAGAAATTTATAAAAAAAACTAAAGGGAGGGTTATTTTAATAGATATAAACCAGTCACCAAAGTTTCATGAAAACTGCTTAAAGAACTTTTGAGTTATTGGTCGAAAACTGGAAAATCCCCCTTTTTTAATGAATAAAACCCCATAACTAGGAAATGTAAAATCCAAAATTTATAAAAATTGAAAGGGAGCTCACGTCAATATATATGAACAATTAACCAAAGTTTCAAGCAAATTGGTTAAACTTTTTTGAGTTATTGTCCAACATGATGACGACGGACGGATGGATGGACAACGGTATACCATAATACGTCCCATAAACGGGCGTATAAAAATTAAAATCCGATAAGGTTCTATAGAAAACCCCTCCTTCCTTTTTGCCCCTCAAAGTACCCCTTTATAAACCCCATTGCACCACTAGACATGTTAGTCTAACATATATTGTAGAACCCTAAGTTAATCTGATTTGGAGAACAGGTGCAGACAAGTTCAAAATTTAGAAAAAGAAGAAGAAGAAGAACCAATAAGTCTCCAAACTTTATTTTGCAGACTTAATAAAGAGTACATTTTGTTTTTCTCAGGTCTCACCAATGTAAGACTTTAAATCAAACTTTTATGTACTTCCTGCTTTATTTTTTAAAATTTAGAAGATTATAAGTGTTAACATGGTTAAGGGATGTTTAAACACATCAGAGACATCAAGAGTATTTTTTTTTCATCTTTTTAAATACTTGGCTTCAACAATTAAAGTTGCATTAGCTGTCAAAATCATGTTCATCGATTAATGACTCAAATTCTCATATTTGATTTATACATACTAAAACGTATATGTATTCAAATTACAAAAAGTCTAAAATAAACCATTAACAATGCATGGACTAGATAATATGTATAACATGTGTGTATTTTTGTCTAGACGCCATCTAATTAATTATCTAGATGACCTCCGACTGCGACTGCGGATGGTCATATAAGCTGATATAAACATAAATATAAATAGATAGCTACCACATGCAATTGAATTTTTCTAGGTCTGTTTGATTTCATATTGTAGGTTAAAAAGTATGTTTATCATCATTTTTACCTACATATAAGAATGATTTTTTTGTGAATCGAATCAGTCAACCATATGGTTCATCCATCCTTGTTTCACTTTCAAGGTTGACATTCTTTTCCTTTTAATAGCTGAATACATGCGTAACTCATCTCTAGCTAAGGGGTTTAATTGAAGGTCACATGAATACGGATTCAATGAGACTGAATTATTCACTTGCAAGTGAATAATTCATCAGCAATGATTCTTAGCTTATTTTGACAAAATTGAACCAAATGGCTAATAAAAGCGAATTATTATTTCACTATTTCACTTCCATTAATGATTGAACCAAAAAAATCATATTTTAATTTTTTTTATACATGTATCTCATAGCTAATGGCCCTTTAAGACATAATAAACTGCTTCGCCGAGCGCAGTTGGAAACGACCGCAGAGGTCCAACCCTGAACAGTTGGGGCAAAAATGGACACAATATTCAAGCTTGATATAGGTCTGAATTTGGATTGTAATTAAATATTTGACACATTACAGGTTTCTGACACAGAATAAATGTAGTCAAAGAACTTGAAATTGGTTATATGATTTGAATTTATATTCAATTGAAGATTTCTTGCTGTTGTGCAATACACTGTGCTGTTGCGCAATACTTTGGAATTTTTCTTTGGAAAATTGACAATTTCTTAAATCTTGAGGAAAATTTAACCCCCCCCCCCCATCTGCAGATTTCTTAAGACTATTAAAGCCTTTTTTAAAAATCAACTTATGGTCTGAAAGTCTTAAAAAAAACACTTAAATTGTTTTATAGGTATAATTTTTTTTAGCCAGCCACTTATACCATGGCTACATGTACAAATGAAATGAAAACATTTCAGTTTGCATTAATCAAATGCATCATGTACAGTAAAGACCTACAATGACCAACAGAGTCTTAATACTTGAAAATGAGTAGACTACATGAACATGTTTATCAGATACAAAAACATTTCAGATGATGATTATATCACAATAAGCTGATGCATTGCAAGCTTTCCCATAAACCTTAATTTAAAAGAGTTCCCATAAAGTTAACATAATTGAGTTTCTAACATTTTTAAAACAGGAGATGTTAGTGATCTTCAAGAGTTTAGTTCTACATTTGTACATGTAATAGCACTTTGATTTTATAAAAAAAATGTTACAGCTGCACACATTATTCTGGTAACCCTGTCTAACATGGTCAACAATTGGGACACACCAATCATATCATAAGTTACAATTTCAATACCTAACTAATATGGTAATTAACACTTGGTATGAATGAACTAATATAGTTCCCATTGGTTTAGATTTAGTGAAAATTCAAAGCATATTAATTTTTTTTTCTTTCTTTCCTTAGATAACTTTTAGTCATATTCAAGTCAACTGTTTTAAATACATTTTTGTACTCAATTAAAGTTCCTCTTTATGATCATGTCTAGTCATAAATAATAGAATAAAATTCTTCTTATAATATAAATTCATTTCATAAATTCACAAAATAATTTAACAGTAAAAAGTACATCTTACTTTTTGTTGCAGACTACATACATGACATTTGTATGTGTATGTATGTCCAAAAGTCCAATACTGCAATATATATATGTTACATGTGGATATTTACAGCGCTATCAATGCAGCAGATGCTGATTTCTGTTTGTTCTCTTAGAAATGACCTCATTAAAAAGATTTACAATCATGAATTTTAAACTAAGGCTGTACATATCCTAGATCTATTAAACATTTGTATATTTCTTTAAATTCTCGTTTGAAGTATAAAATTGAAGGGCTTATGCAAAAACATAACCAGGAAGCAGAGTTATATACACTTACTATTTAAACATGTAAAATACTGACATCTGACCTGAACAGCAATTAATCAGATGCATTCTAAATAAATGTTAAATCACAGCCGATCCCTAGGTTTAAATAATCATGCTAAAGTATAAACATATATACCATGTATACAAATCACATTCACTGAGCATATTACAAAATAACACTTGAATTTTTTCTGTATTCCCAAATGATCTTGATCATGTTGATTTTTATCATTTTATCTTATATTTTTTTAGACAACTTAATCTTTTTGCTTTTTATAAAATTTAAACATAAACAAATCTTAAGTTCTATCATAGACTTCAATGAAAAAATGTGATTTTTATAATATAATCCATAATTGAAAGATGTCACCATTTATAATTTGAAACATGCAATGTACTATACTATACAATGAATAATTCTTTTCAGTGGGGGTTGTTAAATATGGATAGCAAAACAGGAATTCAATCATAAGCATTTTGTTGTTGCTAGTATTGTGTTAAATGGCTTGTCATTTTAAAAAACAGTATACATTGATCCTGTTGAACAAGTAACTTATTTTTGTCATTCAAATCTTAACAGTTTATCATGTTTATCAAGGATATAAGAAAGTCTATTAGTATAAAAAAAATCTTTTAGTCTGTAAAATCTAGATCTTTACATACATAACATATTCTTTTGATTTAATGTTTTAATTTATTGGTAAATATGGAAATAAAATAATACTGACAGAAAAAAATATTACATATATGTAAAGGCTTACCTGAAGCCAGCTATCTGTCTGATTTCCAGGTAAACCTTCGAAGACTGTTACCTGTTCAGGTAGACATTATGGGTGAGACCACAACAAATTCCTTGATAGTCCCCATAAACCAATAAACACTTCCTTCCTCTTATCAATTAATCCTACTTTTATGAGAAGCTCAAGTTTGTTTTATCAGGATTAAGTACTTTACGGCTATCATTAAAATGTTTGATTTCACTTTTAAAAATGTTACAAACAAAATGTTTTGTGATATGTAAAAGCTTTGCTACTGACTTTATACAGAATTTATATATGTATGTACCATTAAACAGAAGTACAAGTTTCATGCTTTGTTTTGAGGTTTTTATATTTTTAAGGTGTTCCTCTGTCAATATTAGAGGTAAACAGACATGAAAGATATTTTCAAGGGTCAACTTGAATTCATAATTTTTCAAGACTATGTAACAATATTGGCAGCTTCATGTTTAATGTTGTGAAGATTTTTTTATCATTTTTATTACAAGTAAACATTGCAACCAGGGGAGAAATATAGGCATCAGTTGTCACTCCATCATTGTGTAATCTGAAAATTTAAGGCAACACAAATATTTCGAAATCCTTTTTATTTTGTTTTGGAAAATGAATAATTGAGGTATATTTCTTGGTTACAATCTTCTCTTTTTAATGACTTAATCGTCAACAAAAATATCTGAGATACAGACTTGACCACATAAACTTTACCTTGATCACTGAACCATGAAATGAGGTTGAGGTCAGGTTAACTTGGTCTGATGGACATGTAAACCTTACAAGGAACCCATATATTATCATGATTATAGGTATCTTATTAAAATGTATAATAAGTGAGAATTAACATGACAAAAAAACTGTTTTTTCAAGCAGTCGCTGAATCATGAGAATGCTGTCAAGGACAATGGACATATGACAGACCGAAACTTTGTAACATACGGCATCTGCATACAAGGTTATGTATGAAGCGTTCTGGTCTTCTACCATGTCTACCTTCTGAAATATAAAGCTTGAAACAAATAGTTTCAACGTCGCAGCCAAATTGTAATCCCTATATCCCGAAAACAGCCAAGACCATAATCAAATGACAATATCAAATATAAGATTTCAGTAAGTTATTTTCAGAATTTCTACATGTATATTATATTTTAATGAAACCCACATTAATAAAACCATGGATTTGTATAGTAAGATCTTACTATACAAATCCTTGATAAAACAGAATGCTGGACAGAAATCTGTCACATGTACAAAAAGTCATATCATAAAAAGTCGCACTATTCAATCTTTAAAAATTATACCATTATGATAGTTAATTTAGCCATGTTAGCTGACGTAATATTATTTTGATATACTGTAAATAATTAATAATAACTTCAATATGTTTATCATGATTTAATTGATATAATATTAATTCAGTTTATATGGATTAAATGCTATACTTTTTACATTAGTCATTACCATATTTTTTATGTCTTTTTTTATTTCCTGACTCAAGCTGTTTCCTTTAAAATAACATTACTTATGTCAGCTGTATTTATTACTCATATGAGAGTTTTAATTGTCACAAAGGTTTGTAAATCATGCATTGTCATACATGTATCTACAGGATATAGGTAAAAGAGGGGGGTCAAGCTAGAAGTGAGAATTATTTACTTGATGGGATAAATCAGATAATTCAACAGAACATGGGTGCAAAGACTGCACACTTTACAAAAATGGTTATTATGTATTGCATGAAACTGGAAAATTTACCTTTCTAACCTTTCTTCCCTATTTACTTGCAATATCCCGCCAGTCAGTTTGTAAATAAATCATCACACGTGATTGTGATTGTGACTGACATTTTGGCGCGAACATAAAACTATACGGAAAGAATGTGTATACATTCCGGGATAGGATATTTCTATGTCACAGCTGGTTCATAATACATTGTGTCTGATCCCAGATTGTGTTTTTTGTTTTTCTCAAGTCAAAGGCACATGCCGTTACAAAAAATATGCCTATCAATACTTTTGATTAACACAGGTTAAGGAAGGTATGGCATGGTATGAGGCGATGATTTAGTCAAAATTATTGCATTTAAAGAACTCTTGAAATATTTCAGGACCTCCGATATAATTCGATTTCAGGATCGATCTATAACATCAAAGAATTATATATTTAAATATACAATTCCTTAATAACATGTATAAAGCATTGAGGAGCTTCTGAAATATTTCAGGACCTCAGAAATTCGATTTCATGATATCCTAAAAATAATTCAGGTCCTCCACAAATATTCGGTCAACATAACTTTATTTCAGTCCTTACACGAATATTTCAGGATATCCTTAATATCAAGTTATTTAGCTCCATGATTATATATTCCAGGACCTCCACAATTCAATTTCAGGATATCATTAAATATTTAAGGAGGCCTATTATTATTTCAGGACCTCCACAATTCGATGAAAGGATATAATTAATGAAATCGAATTGTAGAGGTCCTGAAATAATTGTGGACATCCATGGGCCCCCCCCCTTTCGTGGGAAAAATTTGATTGATTATATAGGGAATCACTGAAGCATGACTGGAGCCCCCCTCCCCCCCCCCCGCCCCCTTATTCAGTCAGCGGGCCCCCCTTATGAAAAGTTATGGATCCGCCACTGGGGGTCTAAATACAGCACAAACAACATTTTCCAAAAGACCAAAAAAGTGAAAAAGTATATTTTAACAAAACGCATTTGACTAACAGGTCGAACAACAAAATTAATGTTCTTAAACCCTGCTGACTGCCATTGGCGATTGCCAAATAAACGGATCACCGATGTAATAAATGGATCTTAATTATAAATTTAATACTAAACAGAAAACAATAAACTTGCGGAAAAGATGTTATACCGCAAACAAAAGGTGCAAAGGTTTTTGTACACCATATCCGGATTTCGACAATTAATGTCTCTTAAGTGATGTTAGGAATCAAAACGGGATTCGGAAAGCCATACAATTTACCTCAATTTAGGATAGACTCTTGAATTTTGAGGAGTCAAAATAGGATGAACGGATCATATTTAAACCCGAAGGCAAATATAATACAAGCCCAAACGAAAAAATATAAACAAGTCTAAATTGAAAACAACGTTCAAACCTATGATTGCGTTGGATAAAAACCGCAATTTTTATACGTGTGCATGCAATTTATATACCATGGAAACCAGACCAAGAACAACATGATTCGTTCATGAAACTTTTATACGACGATAACTTACACCTAAGGGAGCAACCATTTAAATTCAAGGGGGGGGGGGGGGGGGGGGTTATGGTTTTTTGTCAGAAATTTTTCTTACCGATCGTACACAAACAATTTTTCTGGACGAAGAGTCATCTGACCAGTCACCTCAGGCACCTCTGGCATTCCATCCAGACAGATACACACTTCTTACGGTAACTCTTCTTACTTTAAAAAACTTAAAAAAAAAAAACAGGGCTACATTCTTCATAAACTTCAAACTCGGCTAAATTTCTGGACATTATACAGCAATCAAACTTAAAATTGCAAAAACATACATAGAACATCATAGATAATGGCAAGAAATCACTAGGCTCCTTAAAAAGATATTTAAAAACATCAAGCTACATCAAAATCAGGCTTGTCTGGCACTTGTTCGACCAAAACTGGAGTATTCATGCTCAATTTTTTTCCTCATACTACTGAGCAGATTACAAAAATTTAGATGGTCCAAATAAGAACTGCCAGATATGTGTGATATGTCTGCAATCGATACCATACTTTCAAAAGCGTATCAAAATTTTAAAATGGTTAGCATTACAAGAAAGGAGAACACTTTCAAGATTAAATTATGTTCTACAAGATTATAAAAAAACAAATCATGACTCCACATACCGGCCAATCTTAACCACTAAAGATACATACAATTCCCATTCTTTCCGTATACAATAGTTCAATGGAATTTACTCCCACTCCATACAATGGCCGTTCCACAGTCGACACATTTAGAAAACAGATCACTTCAGCTTATCTCACAGAGCTCCAGATAAGAATTCACAAATTGGGGTTTTTACCCACCATTTTTATATGTAATTGGGTGATAAAGTTTTTTAATTGCATTATCAATTCCAATTCACCCCTCAAGCAAATATCAAATTGGGTTTTTCACCACCAAGCTCCTTAATGTATTGGGTTTTT